ATGGAGATTATGGATCCTAATGTGCTCCTTAACATTTTATACACCATAATACCCCTGCTACCAGTTTGTCTCTGTCCAACTGTTGCATCCAGGAGCCAGGATTTTGTTTGTAAATCAGCATATTGGCACATGCCCATCGATGTGATTAACCAGAAAAACATGATTCGTCGGACCATGAAACTTTCTTCCATTCTTCTAATATCAAATTTTGATGTTTCTTGGCCTATTAAAGATGCAGCTGGCAATGACATGCCATCATTGCAGGGACATGCTTTGGCCTCCGGCTGCATAGGCTCATGCACAGCAATGTACGCTGCACAATGTGTTGAGAAACACTGTCTGGGTTACCACTGTTGTAGCTGGTGGTGATTTCAGCTGTTGTAGCTCTTCGGTTGCAAAGAACAATGCACAGCAATCTCCAATCTCCTCTGGAATCAATGTGCTGTCGACAACACACTGTTGGCTAGTGACTTCTTGTTTCTCCATCCATACTCCAATACCACTTTCGATATGTGTTCACAACAACTGCATGTGAACAGCCAACAAAAAATGCTGTTTCTAATACTGATGTTCCAAGTCACCAAGCCATAACGATTTGACCTTTATCGAAGTCTGATAAATCAGCTGCTTTTCTATTATCGTGCTATATTTGAAAAGACAATGCATAGCTACTTTCTATGCTCCAACATCCGGTGCACACATGCAGTGGTTTTGTACCTGGGCAAGCCCATTGTTATAGATGGAAAGTGGTCATAATGTAATGGCTCTTTGGTGTATAGTGCATTAGCTTTGTTTTTAGTAGCTACAATTTATTACTGCTAGTTAAAACTTCATTTTATTTTTCACATAAACAATTTATTTAATATTTGTATGCTTGTATTTGGTGTTTATTTTATGTACATAAAGTAGAGATTTAAAGCAGATGAAAAGTTACGCAATATGAACATTTAAATGCCAATCAGATATTAACTTACTTCAATGGCTAGAAAGTGATGAAAACATTTTAGACAAATCTCGCACTTTAGTTGGTTATTAACGTAAATTCTCTCACATAAATACCAGCCAGTTAAGTGTTAATCATTTCATACACATATAAAAAATAATAGTAATAATAATAATGTTTTCATACAGATATATATAAACATATATAAAAATGCTTGAATATATTTATAATTTTCCCATAAAATTCTGGAATGTTTTGGACCTAACATAACCCTCTGATTATGAGATCCATGAATAGACATTCAATATTAATGCTGAAAATTGAAAAGACAAAAAAGTGCTAAATGATATTTAAATGTCTGCTGAAATTACAAACGGCAAAATATAACATTTTAACCCTGTGGTTTTGAGATTCATGAATAGGCATTCACTATCAGTGCTGAAAATATTCATAAAGTGTTCTTTTCCCTTCAGTACCTACACTTTGTGGTACATTCAATGTACCAACAACTACTTCTCTGTCTGCTGCCCAGATGTCCCATCTGACGATAGTGGGTAGTGACAATGGCTGCTGTACTGAAGGTCCTGGGTTTAGATCCCGGAGAAGGTATGGATGTTTATAAGCACTTAGTGTCTGTGGGGCAAGGGGGTACTCAAAATACTGGTGAGTCAAATCCTCTCAAGTAGAAGACAGATGAGAGGCCCTCAGAAAGCATCCTCAGGTGTTCTCTTTGGGAAATTTAGCAGTTAGCAATGCCTGACAATTCCTAATACAGTCAAAAGTCGTTAATTCGGACACCCATAATTCGGAATGATCTATAATCCGGACATCAAAACTAAAAACTTTCTGCGCATGCGCCACGTTGACACATGCGCAGAGGGCGTTCATGCGTGCGCGTAAGACCTTTACGACTGCGCATATAGTGTGCGCAAGTGCAGAATACGTTTTCGCGTGCGCATTTTTATATAATGGACGTATAAGCTAAATTATCTAATTATCTATTTCAGTTAATGATGATTGCGTTTTTCCTTAATTTTCGAATTGCATTCGGCTTATATTTTTTTGCAGACTGTAAGAGCAATTTTATAAAAGTAAGCTTAAACTTTTCGATTATATCAAATAGAATTCCGATATATATTTGTTAATATGTAAAGAATCTAAAGCGAAAGTATGTTTTGAAATCCGAAATCTGTTTATCAATTTCACGCTGCTCGGCGGCGGGCGCCTAATGAATTGGAAGTTGATTTGTCAGCACTATCCTTATCTTCAGCGCAGATGTTTTTTTATTTTATTTGGCTTATAATTCCTTACCAAATGTAGTATTTTCATCTCGATATGCTCCGTCTTTGATATGATTTAAAACAAGTTCCTCGTCATTATAATTCACTTCCGATAGCGAAAAAAGTGAAAGAGGTTTATTGAAAACAAAAAAAATTCAGATTGACAAATTAGTCGGTGTTCTTGACACAGCAATTATAGGACTTGAACGGCGGAACTTTGTAACTGAACAAGAAATTATGTCTGTTTAATAGAATTAAAAGAGAAAGTATTATCACATGAAACGAAGCAAAACTTAAAACAAACTTACATTGAAAGAAATGCTTAATAAAGTAAACAAATAAATATTAAGCTTTTCTTTTTTTTTTTTCTTTTTGCAAATTTTGATACCCTTTGGATCATAATTGTTCTTTATTTCATAAATTACGGTTTCATATTTTTAATTTTAGAATTTCTGCATGCGCCATCTTACGAGATTTAAACTGATGATCTATAATCCGGAATCGCCGAAGTCCCGACGAGTCCGAATTAACGACTTTTGACTGTATACCAACTTAGATGCACAGGTGCAGGCCTTGCTTTAACTTATACCTGTACCTCTCGTCAAATTATAATTTCATTTAAATCTAATTTTTGCACTTGTAGTCAAAGAGTTAATGGGCATTACTTACAAAAAAAAAAAAAAAAAAAAAAAAAAAAAAAAAAAAACAGGCTTGATGTTTCTTAAAAGGAGGCGCATATCACCCTTGGTGAAAGGAAAACTTATTTTCTGCAAGTTTATTGCAGATTGATGGAAAAGTTATTACTGCAAGTAATTTTCCCATCATTCTACAATATACTTGCCATATATTGTCATTTCCGACAAAGGATGATATGTGCCTTCTCATATCATTTTGCGATAAACGTTTTTTCATGAAACAGGGTCCAGTTAATCTATCCCAGGATAATTGGGTATTGTGTATATGAGAGGTAGTCAAAAAGTTCCTGGAATTTCATTGTAACTCTTTATCACCACAAACAATCAATTTACATTTCTACTACCACTATGTTTATTTATTACCAGAATTCATAACAGGCAATGTAGCTGAAGGTAAGGGTGTGTGGTGACCAGTTGGCATGACGCCGATGTTAAAGCAAAGGGTGAACGTCAAGTTCATATACAGAGTGGAGAAATCTGAATCAGAGACTTTGTTAGTGTTACAAACAGTTTAAGGTTTAAACCCTTTAACAAAAACACCCATTTACAAGTGATTTTTTAAGATTTCTGGGTGGAAAGGAACTGTCCGAACTGCTGGAACAATTACAGCCACAGTGGGGAAAACTTCAACCTCTAGAAATCAAGGAATGGTCTAGCAAGTGGAACAGTTAATCAGATCAGACTGAAGAATGACCATCAACGAGCTGGCACAACAAGTGCAGACATCCTTTCAGATGATCTGAAGATAAAACCTGTCAGTACAAAGTTTGTCCGGCGGCTGCTGAACCTAGATCAGATAAAAACTCAGCAGTTGACTGCAGCTAAATGTTTTGAGCAATGCACACAGGACCCGACATTTCTTGAGGTAATTGTTATTGGTGATGAGACCAGGGTGTAGGTTTACGACTCAGAGACAAAGATGCAGTCATCAGAATGGCACACAGTGTCTTCTCTGGAACCAAAGAAATCACATCATATCAAATCCAAAATGAAAATAATGCTCAATGCGTTTTCTGACAATGAAGGTGCAGTGTACCATAAATTTGTACCAGCTGGACAAACTGTTAATGAACAAGAGGACTTTCATCATCATTTCCAGCAATGGCAGAAGCAGTGGAGCAAGTATGTGTGTTCTGAAGGAGCCTACTTTCATAAAGTAATTGCGTATCTATATTGTGGTATTAAAGGGATCCAACGAAATTCTGGAAACTTTTTGACTACCCATTGTAATTTGTTTTATTTACTGCATCAGTGGTGAATTCATGCATGAAATGCCAAATAATTCCTTATGTCATTTACATAAATTATAAATGATTATATGGAATAATTTTTGTTTTCAATAAGAACGTTTCCAAACATAGTGAACAAAATTCTTAAAATTTTCCTTTTTTTAGAGCTGACATATCTTTACAGCATTCTATTTGGATAAATGTAATTTATTCCCCCCCCCTAAAAAAATTATAAAAGTTTCTATCTTACTCACTAACCTTTTATTGGGAATGGGGTGGATATTTGACACTTATTCTACACAATTTTCAAATTCTAATAGCTTGTGATCCAAGTCATAAGAGACATATGCATAATTATAACAAGAAGAATGCAAAAATAACATATACATCAATTTCATAACCATTTCTAAATATAAAATCCATTAAATTTGTGCAAACTATAAAATGAAAATACAAGTACTCTTCTGTTATTAAGACCGGATTCAGAAATGTATGTATGTAAGCGCATTATGTGTGTGTGTACACATACGTACATACTTACCTACATATATACATGCACACATGTACACATACATCCATATATACATATTTACATACATACATTTCTGAATCTGGTTCTGATAACAAAAGATTACCAAAACTTCAAAATTTAGGCTTAGAGATATCAAGACTACACATGTTCAAATAAGTGCTTGTCTTTCCACAGTGTAACAATCCCAAATATAGACTTTTATTTCCAACAATTAATATAATTAGGAGGTATTGTTAATAACAAAGATTAAATTATGTTCAAAATGTGCATCACCTATTTCACATGCAATATATATGGATTTTTAAAATGTCCAATTATTGGTTATTATTTTCATTTCTAAAATGTTACATTAATAAAAAATGTTACCATTTTCAGTTCTTCAGCCGCTTCAGGGCAGTCATTGAATGTGTAGACTCGATAAAGTATCACAATTAAGGAATAAATCTAAAGAACACAATTTTTAAAAAAATTAAGCATAATAGAATGGAAATTTCATTTTATTTAAATATTTTAGAAGCTATATATTTGCTCTTTATAATAAAATTATAATCTGCAAGAACTTGAGTCATACAGATTGAAGGATACCATATCTAAGGCAAAGAAAACTACACTTGTTAATTTATTTATGCACTTTAAATGTTTCTTAATTTATTTAAATACAATTGTTCGGTATTTAAATAAAACAGTTATATAGAATATAATAGAATTGATGGTCACAGTCTGTTCTACAGCAGTGGTCTCATTAACGAAATAAAAATTATTTTTTTGACTAAATTTTAAATCTCGTTTAATCAACATTTATTAAAAATACATAAACAATAGTAATTATTATAAAAGAAAAATTCAAATTTATATTTATTTTCTGAAATTTGAAGGTTGAATCCTACAAGAATTTTCTGTTGATTACATTTTTTATTTGTTCAAAAGTTATGCTCAGTTCCAAACACAGGTATTTACATATAACAAATGTAAGGTACATCTAATAAGAAAAAATTTATAAGCAGTACTGTTGGTTTCTACCTATAACAGCAATACAGAATGTGCAGCTGTACAATCAGCCAACCAACTAATGATTGATGAACTGACTAATGAAGTTCAGAAATACCAACTTTATAGGAAAAAAAAAAAAAACTGGAAACATCAGAACACTGAAGTACCATAAACTATCGATTGGCCAACTGAGTTTAACCGATCATTCTAGTGTGGGAATTTGACCATCTATTCCAGTCACGTAGCTTGACATATCAAGATACAGCAACAAAGTCTCAATCTACTCATTCTGTCTTTTCCATAGAGATAGAATGAATATGTTAATATGAATACATTAATATATTATTTAATAAAATAGCACATTTTTTAAAAAGATATGAAATATCCTACAAATTAAACTGTATAAACAAACTGAGTATAAAACAAATTGAGTGAGGTTTTCTCCCTACAAAGAGAATAATAATATTTCATTCAAATCGAAATCTGCTTACTGGTGACAACTGCAGCAAGACACTGTAAATTTCAATAACAAAAGCAGTGAACATAAATGAACACTGATACTGATATTTCTTAAGATGACCAAAAGACAGAAGTCGTTTAGAACCATGAGATCTGCTATCTGTCCTGTTAGTATGATGTGTGGTTGCAAGTAAGCAGGGCAGTGTCATAGCCTTAGGACACTGCACTGTCTACCTGCAACCTGTTTAAATTGCAGAAAAGGCATAGAAGCTTGTAAGTGTGTACTATCTTTACAGTGCAGGAATACTAAAATATTTCCAAACTGAAGGAATATAGCTTCCTTTTCCTTATGGGTGAAATTTGGTTGCCCTTGTACCCTGAAAAAGTCTTAGTGATGAGATGGCTAAATGACAGATGAGTTTTGGCCATTTCCTACTAATGCATTATGTTGCAAGCATCCAGCTTTGGAAGGAAAAATGAGATCTATTTGGATGGTTTCACTGCAACATGTAAATGTAAAATGAATAAATACAAGTATCTCTCTTATAATGCAGCTTTTCTCTTACACAATAAGAAAATTTCCGAAATCCTCTTACAGCAAAGCAACACTGTAAAAATACATAAATCCTCTTATAATAACACTTCATGTATGCACATGTTTAGGTAACGTGATTTTTATTTGAAACATTTACAAAATTAAGTTATGTAACATGCTATCATAGGCTAAACTTGCATATAATTTTTGAAATAAAATTTCACTGAAAAGAGGTTTCTTTTTAAGTCACTGTAATTATTTTATCTAACAATGGCTTTAAAAAAAAATATAAATCTTTTTAGATCAAGTTTTGCTTCCAAAGTTATGGATTTACAATAAAGCAAAGTTTGGTTTCTTTCTTTTGTCTTTTTTTTAATCACACAAATAATTTATTTGTTAAAGCAATTTATAATAGTTACTTTTCACAGATATTATATAAAGTAAAAAAGAATATAAATATTTACCCCAAAGGCTATAACTGCATAAATAGGAACCTGAAAAAATAAAAATAAAATATTAAATTAGTAATTTTACAGGTTATTATGTATTATCCTATAGCTGGAAATATTGGCACCATCAAATCATGATTTTGTATTAATGATTGTATAATTATGTTCAAGCAAAAAAAATTCAGGCTTTTATATTTAATTTTCCCCCATAAAAGTTATCAGACATTCTGTATTCAATTCGATTCTAGGAAAACATTATTCAAATTTGGAGTTTACTACAAAATGCAAGAAGATACCATGTATTATTTTCTGCAATAGTGAGTCATAGCAATTGAAAAGCAGCATGAAAATGGCTTTAATACAATATTGTATGCAGAATCAGATAAATGACTATGCAATATTTCTAACTGTAAAAAAAGTGTTTATTTCCACAATATTTGTTATAAATTTTGCCGGCTGTAAGAGAAAGTCTATCATATAAGAAATCAGATACAACTCTTATACTAGGCATTATTAAAAATTTTGGTGCAGAAATCAAATCCTTATTTGACAGCCCTAAAATCTGTAAAGACAAACACATAAGTACCTTTTCGAAATTAATAAAAAATGAGAGGCTATATAACCAGTTAGAAGTTAAAACAATACTTGAAGTTTGCAAACTTTAAGTATTGTTTATTATTAAGTACTTTTAAGAATAATAAGTTATAAAACAAGTTAAAACAATAAAGTTTGTAATCTTGCACATTTTACATAGTTAATCATTACTGAGGTTTTCCCTACAGTAATTGGTATCGATGAAGTAAGCAAAAAGCCGTGTGGGAGCATTTAATTAACAAGAGAAGAAGAAAGCAAATACGACATATTCACGATTAAATCTTAGTTTTGAAAGAACTGGTTTCAATTTCGATATCATTTGACTGGTTAATTAGTATTGCTATAAAATTATTATTAGTTGGTAAAATTTCATTTTGCAGAACCATCTAAATTACCAGTATTATGTACTAGCCATGTAAATGATGTAAGCATTACGTAAAAAATGGCAGATGTAATGCAATATGTAAAAGACAGCTATTAATTTTAAAATAATGCAGTTTAGAGAGGTTTATTGGTACTCTTTTGTTATCAGGACCGGATTCAGAAATGTGTGTATCTATGCATGTATGTATGTACGTACATATATATGTATATACACACACATAGGCACATACATACATACATTTCTGAATCCGGCTCCGATAACAGAAGAGTACCGGTTTATTATAAGCAATAACTATTTTAAAACAGAAAGGGGAAGCAGTCATATTAAAATAAACACCTAAGGGGCTACTGCAAATCAAAGTTAGAATTTTGTATTACATATATGTGTATAGTGAAAGAACATTGTGATTGTGAGAAAAATATCACAAAAATAATGTTTTCACACTTATTACTAAACATATCAATTGTTTTGTTAATAACAGATAAGCATAAAAATACATTATAGTTTAATTGAAAAATATTTGTAAACCTACAAGCCATGAATGCCAGTCATTTTCTTTCAAGAAAATATTGTTGATTAGGAGAGAATACCAAACTGAAATGATAAGAGCCACCCCTGCTAACCATTCCAACAATTTTGACATATTTCATAACTTAACCAATTACAGGTAGCGATAAGCATTTATTTTCGTACAACTCATTTAAAAGCTCGTAGTAAAACTAACAGTAACGATTCCACAGAATTTCACTTGTCATCCTGAAACCCTTTAGCCTTGAAAAATAAATTGAAAGCGTTTATATTTTAGATGTTTTTTCATGATATAAAAATTAAAAAATTTTCATTCAAGAAGATTTAAATAATATTTCTTCTAGTTCTGCTGCACTTAATTTAGTACTACAGGTCATCTTCCGCAACATACTTTTCCTTTAAAACACTCTTAAAGTTACCGGCGATGATTACCTTTAACTGTAGCTACCATATTTTTTATAATCAGTCCCGGGCGCTGCGATCACGAAAGCTGGAGGCAGTGTCTAAACATAGCTCCGAAATTTTTTAAATAACTGTTTCATAAAATATTTCAAGCTCTAAAAAATTTTAATGCACCTTTCCTATGCAATTCTCATTCATCAAATTGAAAGGAAACTTCTCTTCTTCGAAACTTCAGTGTTTTGTAGCTGTTTACTATCACACGAGAAATCCAAAAGAGGCCCTACAACGGATATTCAGACCAGTAACATCTTTCTCTATCAATATATTTCCTATCTAGAGTGCAATTAATTTTTTTATTATTATTTTTTCATAAGATATATAGTTAGTAATAGTAGCAGTATGTGGTCTTTTTCGTAACTATTCCGTAGAGACGACATTCCTTATCAGTAGTCCGTTCTTATCAGCAATTCACACCCTCGGAGGCCCCCCCTTCGTGCTTAGGAACGTCTTGAGAGGGAAAATGGGGGTCTCTTGACCATCGATAGTATAGATGTAATTTTTGTAACTAAGATCCGACCTTTTTTTTTTTTTTTTTTTTTTTTTTTTTTTTTTTTTTTTTTTTTTCCAGGTATCAAACTTGAATTAGATCAATATAAATACAGTGACGGAATTATTGAACTTGCACTATAATAAATTACAACGGTTAATTAATAATTAATTTTATATTTAACTAAATTAATAAAAATAAACTGTATAATTTTTTTGTTGATATGCTTCTCACACTGTTTATGATTTATGATTTTGTCAATTACTGTTTTCTGAAATATACATGATTTTTTGGAAACGCAATAGTTTAATGTTACTTTAGTTAAAATAATTATGTACATCTTCTGGATGATTATGTCTTTTCTTAGTTAGCCCAGTAAGGCATACACATTACCATGTAGGAATTCATTCTTATTTTATTTATTTATTTTAATTAAACTTAGCTAAGTTTGCTTCTAAATACACAATTTTTGCAGATGAACTCCTTAACTACACTCACGGACCACAATCGATTTTAGGATATTTTCTACTTCTTTTCCTTTTTTTCTTTAGGCCCTTTTTTTTCCTCTATTATTTTTGGGCCTTTTTTTAAATTTTATTTTGTCCCATCTTTCTTTCTGGCCTTTTGAACTCGTAAAAAATGTACGAAGTTCCTTTTTACTCTCCTCAAATACGAAATTGCCCCTCTTTCTATATACCTTTCCTTCGCACCTATGCTTGATTTTTCGCCCATCGGAGCAGAATGACTTTGCGGGTGCAAAACAAGACATCTGTCTACTTTGTCTGTCTATCTGTCTGGATTTTGTTATCTGACTTCATCAAAATGTAGTTTCAGATCAAATTGAAATAATATTTCATAGATATATTACTAATTCTTGCTAAAACATGATGAAGGCTATAAGAGTTTTGAAATTCGGTTCTCCGAAAGTATTAACACTTCAAAGTGTTGAATTGCCAAAAATTACAGATTCCACGGTATGTTTGCAAATCAGTGAAAAGTATATTAATATTTTATTTCTTCTGTTTACTTATCCATTAACGGTGACATTTGTTCGCTATTTGAATCTGAACTGCCATATAACTGTATAATTAATTTTCAGTTATGTGTATTTAAAAGCAGTAACTGTCAGAAAGTTTATATTTTAATTAGGTAATGCTTCTCAGCAAATTGATATTTGAAATATTCTCTTTCCGTTAATTCATCTGTAATTATTTTCCTGTATTTTCAGTTTTATATTTGATGGGCTAAACTGCTGATTATGGGCCGGTGTCATCAGTGTGATGATAAAATGAGAATTCTGCTCGTTTTCACTACTTTCTTGTAACTTAATTTAAATAATAATCATTTGCAAAAAAATTAATCTAATGTTCGTTTTTTGAGTAGCAATTCAGTTTTCTTGAAATTTTTCTGCGGTTTTTGAGTAGTAATTTGGTTTGCTTGAAATTTTTCTGAAAAGTTCGAATTGTATAAGTTTTCGTTTTAAATCGAAAAATTTACAATATAAAGTAAAATGGCTAACAGGTGCATTAGGTAGATCTTTTGTAGCATTTCTGAGGAAATAATAAAGCAGAAAATAACCTGAATGTTTGCTTCTTAAAAAAGAACTGGATAAAAGAAAACAGTGGTTCTGAAAATTAATTTGCATGCTTATGAATGTGTATATAATCAGTTGATTTGAAGTTGAATGAATAAAGATATAATTATTTCCTTTGCAATAAAAAGTAATCACTTATTACATTGTTTGATGCATCCTGAAATGAAAATGATTTTCATAAATCTCTTGATGGAATGGTATCGTTGATATACTGTAAAGCTGGGTAAAAATATATTTACGATGCCCCTTGGCGTTACATGGACACAAAGTTTGTGCAATTCTTTGACTTGTTATTTTTTGCTTTATTTGCCGCTACACAAATCCAAAATATCAAATCAAAGAATTACACAAACTCATTATCCATATACCAATCGACCTATTTTCATTTCAAAAAACATCAGAGAATTACACAAACTAACATTGTGCACTCCCTTGAGTTTAGCCATGTACACATCGATCAAAATTCACTTAAAAAGTCAAAGGAGCCGTCAACAAAAAACATATAATCTCAATAAACTACATTTTAAATCAAACATAAAAAAGGAAATTCATCTTAGCACTGCACAAAGGAAATATCCACTTAATTTCCATGTCTTCAGTCAAACAAAATTCCTTAACAGCATCCAAACACTTCCTAAAATTATCTGAACCAGAATCTGTATACTGGCATCGCCACATAAAATCACAAAAATAAGAGTCGAAAATATCCTCCGATGTTCGACCATATGCTTTTTCTTCCTACAAACAGGACACTTAAAATGACAACTAAGTAAACCTTCATTTACACACCAGTCAATTAATACTTTTTCGCCTTTCATTCCAAATTGTACAGAAACTTCAAATTAATCTTGAAACATTCAGCCATTTTACAGTGTAAACCATAAAATAACAATGTACTTCTTATCTAAAATTCATCCTGTCATTCAAATTGACCACAATCATGCAACCATTTACGTCATAATAGGGTTTCCATATGGAATTAAACTACTCAGGTTACCATAAATGAAACAACTTGGCGATAATCCAAGGGGCACCCTTCAATCTACTCTAACCTAAAGCTGTTTTCGGTACTTAAGTATTATCCCATTGACTGTGAAAATTATCATTGAACAGTAAAAGCTGCAGAGAATCCACCAATCATTTCTACAGGATCCCCAATGAACTGACACCTCTTTATTTAATAAACAATCATTATTCTGTCTGCTTCATAAAAAGTTTTGTCAGTTTCTGTTATTTTATTATGTGCAATTTTTTCATTTCAGTTAGTGTTTTGTCAGTATAATCACTGACCATATCATTTCCATTCATAAGCACTTTGTTTTTATGGAAGAATCACATAATTTTGATAATCCATTGTTTGCTATTCTGTAGAAAACCAGTCATAAATTTGATTTTTTTTTTTTTTTTTTTTTTTTTTTTCAAAATATCAGTTATATCCTTGTTCATAAAAACGTAACATTGTTTCTTGAGAATCGATCAGGGTTACATAAGCAAAAGCGCAAGCATAGTTTAGTATGTTATTACATCATACTTATCCATAACTGAGACAAAATTGCACTGCTTCGCGAGTTTCATTGTCAACATGATAAATATGGAAGTAAAAATTTTTCATTATTTATGTAACCGTAACTGACTTTGAAAGCACCTGGATTAAACACCGGGAAATGTAGTCGCATGAAAACCCAATATAGTTGACTCTATAAAAGCTTAATGTTTTTGCTGTTGTTTTTAAAATGTGTTCATTGGTAATGCTGCACTCATTTTCTTGGTGACAGTTTTTTCCCCTCATTAAACAAAATATTAGAATAAAGTACCTAAAATTAAAATAAATAACAAAATAGCTCAGAAAACTTGAATTTACTCCAAAAAAAAAAACTGCATGCTGTTCGAAGAGTATATCCGAAGAAAAAGCCCTTAAAAACTTTCACCGATACTTTTGCAGTGGCCTAGAGGAAAATGTTGATTTGTGTGTTTTCGTGAGAAACGGGCAATTCCTAATCTTCACATATACAAGAAACGAATGTTGTTGGTTGCCAATCTGCACATGCACATTTCTTCTATTTTCAATTTGAAAATCAAACAGTTTTTCATGCATGCTCATAGATCCTGTATCTTTGGTCAATGAAAATTTTCACTTTTAAAACAGACCAGGTTTTCATTGCACATATTTATTATGTTTACTATTTTTAATGCACCATTAATTGAAAAGATGGTATAGTTCTTTTTCTTTTCTCCAAGAAAAATGTATTTTACCAAGTGTGAGAATTTGTGAAAATAGTATGTAATTATATGATGGAAAAGAAACCATTCAATGATGCATTGTTCAGGCTTTGAATCGGCCATGATAATGTGTTGGAGGTGTTATTAGCAGCCATTGCTGAATTGTGGACACCAGAAACAGTTTCTAAAAAGGGAATTTTCCTGTTTGTATGTTATTTTTTGAATAAATTGCTAACAAAATTGTATTAAATAAAATAAGTAGAATTTTACAATTTATTTAATTAAATACTATAATGAATACAATTTTTTATTGAATTCCTTCCATATATATACGTTAAATAACTTAGTCTGTTTAGACATTGAATGAATTACCGTTTAGTTTATTCAGTTTCATTTTATGCATGCTTATAACATTTGAATAACTATAATAATACATAATAAATAACAATTTTTAAGCCTGAATTGTACAAATGCTGTTTTTCTCACCAAAGGTGCTATAAAAGATGAGTCTCTTTTTGTCTTTGTTATTCCATGTAGTGGTATAAAACAGTGGCAAGTTTTCTGCTATGATGGCACCAGTTGTTAAATCAGAGATGCCGCTTCTGTTGATAGCCCTTTTATGCGGCACTGTCATATATTTTTCTTTCTTAAACTTCATGATGAGGCCATTTTTCCCAGTTTTTATTTTATGAAGGATATGAAACTTTTCAAAGACAACTTTAGATTCTGGCTTCACCACAACAAATACTGTAAACTAAACTTATTATTATTAAAATGAGCAAAAAAGGAATGGGTAAAATTGCTATACTTGAAAGATTTGAATGGGAGAATCTCTTACACACAAACCAGAGATAAGAAACTAATACATAAGAATTGCCAAGATGCAACTGAAAATCATTTGTTATCAAAAAGGTTATAACCAAGAAAATGTAACCAGGGATAACTGATGAGTACCAAAAAAATTGGTACTTTGGATACTCTTCTGTTATCAGGATCACATTCAGGAACGTATGTGAGTATATATGTATTTACACTGCATGTAAAAAAAGGGACACTACTATATCTCCCTTTCTACTGGGCTGATTGACGAAATTCAAATTGCATTTTCCATGTATCGATAATATAGAAAAAGCAAAGTCAAGGGTTAAATTCATCAATTTTAATGGGAATGCTCTAGCAAAGTAAAAGCACTGTGGTTTTATATAATTTCTGAGTAAGCTATTCATATGAAATGAAATAATTCTTGCATTTAAATTTGTAATCTATAAGATTTAACTTGAAATTAATGTAGATAATTACTGACAGAATCAGATTTGAAACTACTTTTATATACGCCGACAAATATTTTTGGCGAGAAACTCCACTGTGCCATATTACTATCTGAATTTTTTGTCTTCATTTTAAACTTTAAGCCTAAAATGTCTCCAAAAACTTGGTTTTCGCACGTGCAAAAAACACATTTTTTACACACAATTTAAGCTAAAAATCCGAAACAAAAACAAAAAATTTAGGTAGCAAGAACATAAAGTTTCTAAGCAAAAATATTTCACAAGAATCCATGTACACAGCGATATGTTTTAACTTAAAATACATCTATGAATTGTACAATCTAGACAGCGAAAGAATCTACGAACCATGCACACCTTACTTTAATAAATTAACATAACAATAAATTTCAAAGAATACCATGTACACAGCATTCTGTTTAAACTTAAAAACAGGGTTCGCACGGTTCTTAAGAGTCCTTAAAGTTTTTTGTAATCGATTTTTGGTCCTCAAAAGTCCTTAATTTCAGCCAAAATCGGCAGAAGGTCCTTAATTTTAATCATCTGAAAATTCTGTCTGTTTTTACGACTGCCATTTTGAGTGTGAATTACCATTTTGGAGGAATATTTTTTGCAATTCGCTGACAAATATTGTTATCTTTTAAATGCGTTCATGGCTTATAATTTGTTTCTATTTGTGGGATAGAGATTCTGAGCAAGAAGTGCAACGCAAGCATTTTGAAATTATTTCATTTTTTCAAGTGAAAAGCTCTTAAACAACTTTTCGCTTTTGGGGATGTGAATTCTTTTATTAAATTGCTTTAAAGTTGGTGACTTATCAACATTTTTGTGTTTCTACAGAAATTTTTTAATTCCGAGATCTGGGAATTTTTCG